GGCGTGCGGGGGGTCCGAGAAGGCCATCCATCATCCGTCTTGGAAAAATGATCAGCCTCTCTCGTTGATATTGTGCTAAAAGTTTGGTTTAAGTGGGATGAGAGCCGTTACGTGTTTTTCGTCAAGGAAACAGATTTACCTGCCAACGCTGCCCGCTGTAGTTGCGATTGAATGTTATACCGAGTTTCGGACTGAAGACAAAGAAACTTCGTCAAGGAGGTGCTCCTTGTGATACCTTAAGATGCCTTACGATGTCTCCTTCTTGCTTTGATGATGACTTCTCGAGCGTAGCGACACTGTATGAGACAGGAACAGAATCGAAACAAACTGAGGGCAACTATTCTATGTCGTGCCGTCGTCGTCAACAACAAGACGACAAAGACATGCGAAAGCATGCTATGGAACTCCTGGTTCGAAAAACAAAGCCTTTCGTCTTCGAAGACGGAGCGGACGGCTTTTGGCTCGAAAACAGTTTTATGAAGACAGCCACCGCCTCTGCTGCTGCATTTGACAGCCAATAAAAGTGCATGCCTTTCTCAAACCTACGGATATTCCATCCTGCATGTCCATGAAGTTACGATTCGCGCAGCGGCGTTGTTGTGGTCCTTTGCGATGATCCGAGGCTAGCCCACGCTTTATGACCATAATCATACGCATGTACACGTGCGATATCATTTTTTCGCGTAGCACAGCAGTCGGATATTCGCAACATGCAAGGCGTCCATGGACTACAGCAGTTATAGTTCATATCGTGAGTTGTGGATACAGGCCCTGTGTACTCTCCGCGCTGGAGATACACACCCGTAGCCGACAATATTCTCTGCCGCTGTGTAACGGAAATGGCAGCAACAAAAGGTGAAGAGTCAAGGGCCGAAACGTATGTATGTACGTCAAAACAAAAAAAAGGGCCGACCACAAACAGAAGAAATAGAATTAATTCCACAACAGGCGCAACCACCAAACATGTAGAGTACGATGGGAAAAAAAAATACGCACCCGCCTCGTTTTTAGAGGATGTCCATGCATGCTCGTAGTTTCGATTGGCGACGCATGGACGAGCGGGACGGTATGTATGCGTGGTAGATATCCTCGCGGGATGACACGAAAAATAACGGCCGTCTTTTCTTCCTTACCGCATCTACTTCTACAATAGAAGTGCATGGCAACGAGGAGGAACTCGGCCATACACCACACACGCTCGGCAAGCAGCACGCCCGCCCCTGTCAACGATGGGTCTCTCTGTTTCTTGCTGGGTGTGTTTTCAAATTGGTCAGTCAGCAGTTGCCCCATCTCTTCATCCCCGCCCAAAAAAAGCGGTACATGGTACATATCAACGCGAGTATGCTACGAAGGGGTTGCGTGCCAAACCTGTCGTCGTTGCTGGTGGAGACATATGAGAAGCACTCCTCGATCGCCAGCGGGATCACTCCCGGCTGGTCTTCGGTCCCCTGCATGGTGTGCGTTTTCCCCGTGCTGGTCTGTCCGTACGCGAACACCGAACTGTGCCAAGCCAAGCCGACAACCAAAACACACACGCGGACAAGAGCAGCGATGGGTGGGTGTCAGAGAGAGAGCGAAATCCAAGCATTGGGGTGAAGTGATGCAAGGTGCAAAACGTTTTATTACGTCAGCTTGGCCCTATGGTACCAAGTCTTTTTTGTGCAAAAGCAGCATAGTCCATGATGCTGGCATCGGTGGCGTTCTCTCAGAAAGGCGGTGGGAAAAACCGTTGTTGTATTGCGCAGCAACCAGGGCGAGCCGTGCTACAGCAGTCATCGAATTCCAGGCGTTCAAGCTCCCCCGTTCTCTCGGGCCCATTCTAGATCGGTCTGTCCATAATATTCGAAGCACTACTAATCTGCAGCAGGTAGAAGGGAGGAGCAGGTAGCAGCGGCGGCGGCGTACACGGGTGTGCAAGATGAGGTATGTACTATTACACGACTTGTTGTTGATAGAAGAGACGCCGTTGAGAGAGAGATTCCAACAATAACTTCCTACCAAGGCTGAGGGAACAGCGAGACACATGAAACACACAACAATGCCACGGAGTCACCCCCATCGACCAGTACGGACACCGGCATGAAGAGATGAACCACCTCACCCGTGGAACCCGCCCATCGTCGCCAGTATCACCCTCCTCACGGCGTTCTCGTAGATCTCCTCCGTGCTGCTGACAGGATCAAACAGGTGATCGTACGTGAAGACGCCTCCCGTCTGCCTGTTCCTCGAGACCGTGCTGGTCTGGGCGATGGTGTTGTCCTTCCAAGCCCACGCGGGAGTTGCGCTGTGCCTCTCCTCCCGCTCGTTCAGTGGCCTTATCCGCACGCACACCTTGATGTTATCGTCGTTGGAAGTTGTTGTTGCCTCCGCTGTGGGCTTGAGGTTGGGCTTCACCATGGCAGTCTTGGAGGCTCTCCTGCTTTGGAGGACATCCTTCAGCGGTACGCCGCCCCTGCGAGACGAGGGCTCCTTCAGGGAGGATCGGGAGGATGGGGGTGGCACGCGAGACATGGTTCGCTTCGCGCCCTTGCCCGGCTCTGTGCCGTTGTGATATTCTCTTGCTCCAGGTCAATTGTCACTTGTTCATTGCGTCCGGCATCCGGCATTTTGGCTTCGCCGTTAGGGGGCCCCGTGATTCTAAGAATAATTCCGCGGAGCCACCTCCGCCAAAGAGCCCGCTGCCTACACCTACCTGATGGTGAAAGACCAGCGCATTGGCGAGAGCGGCGATCGATGTCCGAACAGCACAACGGTTAAATTTTGTTACTAAGATGACATCTGATGATGCCTCGTCCAAGGAGATCCTTTGCTACGGGTTCAACCAGGTACGGTTGGCGCAGAATTATTTTTGTGTTTTCGGTGCTTGGTTTCTTGCGGCAACATCAACTTACAGCGCGGCGAGGTTTTAAGGCTGGGCGAGATGGGCGTACTGCTGTATCGTAGCTCATGAACAAACATGTTTGTTGCCCTTTGTCCCTTGTCATCGCATGCACGTCAAAGAAAATACCGCGTTTATGGTCGCTGTGGGCAAAGACGTGAACAAATGGATGAAACATTCATATGATAAGCGTGCTCACTTTCTCCCCCCGCGTTTTGCCTCCGTAGCCACTTGCCACCTTTCTTACCTTTCCCACCAGCAGTCACATGATTGTCACCCAAGATGCCGCAGGTCGTGAGCTCATTGTTTTCGTTTACGAGAGACGTTCAAAGCTGTTCGTAACCTTGAGCTTAGTGCCCACTCCCGCTTCATCCTTATCTCGCTCTCTCTGTGTGTCTCGCTCGCTCCATGAAAATGTATTTACTTGTAGAGCAGTTCCCGTTCCCGAACCTCGAACATGTTGAATTGAATTTGTCCGGGTGCCGAATGTTACTGAAAGTTGAAGTTGAGCTGCGGGGGATGCTGGCTGCGGCCACTATTGCAAACGCGCACACTTGTAGAATTCAGTCTTGCCGTCATTCCACTCGCTCTCTTATCTCTCTCCATGAAAAACACAAGAGACAATGCCCTTGGCCCCAGCACCTGGGTCTTGCAACCCGCCGCATCAGTGACATCACGAAGAGCCGCATCTTCAGTTTTTCAAACCTTATTATGTATTATTAATAGCACAACAGGAGCAAATAGACACGCGTTTCCACGTGCATGCTGTACACATGAATGTGCGCACCCATTTGTCAGCGTTGCAATCTGTGGGATTGGCCAGGCACACGAAGCTTTTTACCCGGCGCGCATAAGTAACAGCTAGGCCCCCCTCCCGCACGCCGATACCTCGCATCCCCGCAGGATGCCACATGCTTGGCTGTCGGGTTGCGCACAGGCTACCGCATCTACACGTGCCGACCATTCGCGCAGTGCTTCGCCATGACCGACGGGGGTATTGGGCGAGCGGAGATGCTGTTTAGCTCCAGCCTGGTTGCCCTTGTCGGCAGTGGGGACAGGCCTGCTTTTAGGTCGGTTCAACTTGTTGTGTAGTGTCTTTTTTTGTTTTTTTCTGCATCCTGTGTTGTGCATACCCTCTCGTTGTGCTCGGGTACTGTACGGGTACTATAATACTGCTGTGTGGTTGAGGTTTCTCTCTTCTCCAGAGCAGGAATTTCGAGTTACTCAGCACAGCAGCAGCGGCGGCAGACGTTCAGTGTAGCTCAAGACGTGATTTTTCAGGTTGCGACCAGCCGCTACAGTAGGGAGGTGTGGCGGGGAAGAGCGGGCACGCTTTCTTACTCTCATGCATTTTTCCCCTCTAGTCTTGATGCAACGCATGTAACGTGAACACCTCAGACGGAGAGCCTTGACGACTTGACGCCTTGACCCCCCCCCCCCCCCCCTTCAATCCACACGGTTGTGCGTACGGAACGTCGGCCGGGCGGGTGCGTCGAAAAACAGCCCGCGTCGGCTCTGCCTCTGGAACACGAAGAAGGACCACTCCATCTGCGAGGTCAACTTCCTCACGGCCGTGCTGGCTGTCAAGCTCAACCGCAAGCGCGTCGCGGTGTGCCTCAAGACAGCCCTGCACGTGTTCGATATCTCGGACATGAAGTGCCTCAGGACTCTCGAGACGGCGCCCAACCCGGACGGAGTCATGGCCCTCTCGCCTAACGAGGAAAACTGTCACCTCGCGTTTCCTGATGGAGCTAAGGCCGGGAGTTCCGGCGGTGGGGGAGAGGTGGGTTTTATGGGGGGTTCGAGTTGGTGGGGGGGGGGTTGCAGAGGGTGTATCGCTGGTGTATATGCGCTAGCAGTGGATCTGCTTGCTAGGCGCTAGCAGTGAATCTGCTTGCTTCCGAAATGAGACGCGTTTACTGCTGTTGGAAACTATCGGGGATTCATTTGCTCGAACCTAACTTGATCTTTGTGCACCTACGAGCAGGTTATCTTGTACAATGCTCTGGACCTGAAGGTCCTGAACAAAGTGGTGGCCTGTCGGAGTCGAGTCGTGGCGGTCAGCTTCAGCAGAGACGGAAAGCTGCTTGCCACTGCGTCTGAGCAAGGCACGGTGATCCGCATATTCACGGTCCCCGCCGCAGTGAAGGTAAATCTACCGTCGTCCCGCGCAGCAAAGAGTACCAAAAAGTCGTTTTCAGTGTTTACTCGATATTTTTGCGTTATTTTCAAGAGTGTCACCCTTGCCTTGTTCCGTCTCGCGATACACACACAACGCTCGCGCTTTTTCTGTTCAGCGCCGTTGGTGCTCTGTGCTCTGCCTGTCGCGTTGAAACCGTCTGAAACCGTCACTCTCCTTTGTCGAGAAATAAGACCTGCCGCCACTTTCGCATGGGTACCCACCGTTCGAAGTACCTTTGCCCCCACTGAACCCCTCTCCCCCTCTGTCTGTCAACACCGTTCCGGGTCTTCCGTGCCTCTGCTGTACACAACCAACCACCAACCAAAGTTGTACACCCTGCGAAGGGGCAGCACGAGCTGCGACATCTACTCCATGTCCTTCAACGCAGCCGCCACGCGCCTCGCCGTGTCCAGCTCCACCCGAACCATCCACATCTTCGACGTGTCCGCCGGGGGCGCAGCGGGGGGCGCAGCGGGCCGTCGATCTAACAGCAGCCCGCGACAAGGGGGCAACAGCGGCGGCGGGGAGCAAGAAGGGGACGTAGAGAACGGCGGCGGCGCAAATAAGAACGGTTCACGCCCCGGGGGGGCATCAGACGGCAACAATGCCAGCAGCAACAGCAACAGCAGCAGCGGGCTCGCAAGCGGGTTTCGGTCCATGGTCGGGATGCTCCCCAACAGGGTGACGAAGAGAATGCAGGACTACGTAGATTGCGAGCGGTCGTTCGCGAGCGTCCGCCTCAGAGGGAGCGCCGGCCGCAGCATCTGCGCGCTCATCCCCGCCGGCGACAGCGGGGTATGGACCGGCAAGGGCGGGGGGGGCGCAGGGAAGGGCCCGGGCGGGCGGGGGGGGGACGAGAGCGGCGGGCAAGGCGAGGACGAAGAGGTGGCCCGTGAAGTGTTGCTAGTCGTAACGAACGAGGGCATTCTGTACTCGTACGTTGTGGACACGGTCAACGGGGGCGAGTGCCGCTTGGACGAGGCCTCTTCGCTGCTGATGGACCCCAGCGCAAGCCAGGAGATCGGGTCCGAGTTGTTCGTGCCGGAGCGACACGCCCCGCCCGTGCTCGCCGGACAAAGTTAGCCGGAGCTTTTGGAAGGGTCGGGGGGAGGGGGAGGTACAATTTCTTCCTTTTTTTGTGGCGGGTGTTTAGCAGCAAGCCCGCTACCTCTCCTGAACGGTTTGTCGTTGGTTGAGCTACAGCTCTGCCGGCGGTGCCTCTCGTGGGATCAGCCCAAAGTTTTCCCGCAAGGGTTGTTTGAGTCGAGAAGAAAGGGTTGATGTTTGGCAGCAACTCGACACGGCACGATTGGGCTTTTGCGGGCAACCAACCAATCTGGTGTTTCAAGAACGTCGACCGTAGCGAAAAGACACAGTAGTGAACTCAGTTCAAGTCATCGTTGTTTCGAGACAGACACGCAGTCATCGTGTAGTGTCTGATCTTGAAACGTGTCAATCGTCAGGGCGGGGGGGGTAATTACGAAGGGTCTTGTTCCCCCAGCGTGCCTGTTTTTGAAAGTGCCACAAACAGAGTTAGTCGATGTCGGTGGGGGGTTGTTTGCTTGGTGTCCCGTGCCACTCCCCAGCACTAGCAGGGATGGGATGGCCGTCGTATCGGAATTTTTCAGCATTGTAGCCTTGTATGTTCAAGTTCCTTGATTTAGGGCGGAATGTTTCGGTCCCCCGGTAGGGTGATTAGCCTGAGGTATGGGTGTCTACGACACCAATTGATTTGTTCGGATTTGAAAAGAGGGAATTGTCCTCGACAATTTTTGGGGAGATTCTACGGCAGTACTACTGTATGCTTTGGGGATCTCCACGCGGCGCTTAATTATTTAAGTGCAAGCTCCGCTACCGGAAATATTCCATGCGACATCATGGGCGCGCTGGCCAGGCACACATATCGTGTCCGTCTGCAGCGCTTTGTTACACAAGCGGTGCATTTGAGTGCACATTCACACCTTAAACGTTTTTATGGCGGTACCCACGGTATGGCGTGTGGCCTCCATCGAAAGAAGTTGTCTTTTCTGAATGAAGCCGGAAATCTCTGGAAGGACAACCGTATCACAGCTCACACTTGACAGTTAACATCATTTTTTCCTCGAACGTGCTTCAACGTCAAATTTCGCTTTATAAGCGGCCATCGGTAAAAAACATCCACAAGAAAACGCAACAATTAAAGACCTTCGTAAAAAAAAACGCGCACAACACGCACGATAGTAATCGTGTTCGGAGGAGACACCCGCGTGTTCGCAACATTCCTGGCATGCGCCGCGTTTCCACCTTTTCGTTCCCTCTGTCACGGCACAACCCAAAACTCTCCGCAAGTGCAACAAGAAATGACACCCTAGCTAACCTTCATCTCAAAAATGCAAGTACAGAATTTCGCACGAAGACGGAACAAATGCACACAAAATTCCACCGACACGCGGCGTTTACGGCTGTTGTCTAGCGAAACACACCAACCAGAGTCCACAACGCCGTAAATCTCGTGTGGCTTTCAACGTTCCCGTCACTCCTTCCCGCTGTCGCTTGCCCTATTGCTATCTCGCTGCTGGGCGACCTTCTTGGCCCGTGTTGCAAAATCCTTCACCATGTCCTCCGCCAGCGCTTCGGCAGCCTTGGAGGACAAGAAACGCATGGCGGTTTCAGGGCACAAGTGTTCAAGGGTTGCGTATAAGTAGCGAGGGTAGGTCAGACTGGCCTTGAGACAACTGAAAACAAGCACCTGTGGCGTCGTCTCTTTCTCCGTTGTTAATTGTGCCGCATGACGTTGCCCGGCGAAGGCTCCAGATTTAAGAGGGTGGAGCGTGGGAGCACTGAAAACGCTGGTCTTGCGGCACGTCCTCCCAAGACCGACGTGTAGCGTGTGGGAGCACTCGAGACGAGCGGGTTAGCACCAGCTAGCCCCAAACTAAATAGGTTCGCTGGCACCAATGCTCCAAACAATCCAATCTACCCGTCCATATAAAGTTGTCGTCACCTGCTTGAAGCCTCGTCTCTCTCCCGCGCCCCCCGCCCCGGAAATTTGGCTGCCCTGTGCTCCGTTGGCATCGCTACGGTCACGACGGGCTCGCAATCGAGCGGCTTCTGCCCGCAATCTTTTCACTTCGGCGCCCAAGCGTTCTTCCTCTTTCCGTCGCCACTTGTCGCTCCCAGCCTCAAGCCTCGATTCTTTGCTTCCGCTCGGTGGGGTGTCCCGCTGCACGTTTGTCGCCGTGGCCGGCGGTGGCGAGGCGGGGTTATCTCGTGGCCTGCGTTGTAGGATGTTCGATATTAGTGTGTGATGACATGCGTTTGCAGGCAGTCAAAGTTGAGAGGTGATACAGGTAAATAGACGGGACGGCACACTACTACTATCATGTATATCCTCTAAGGCGAATCCTCTTACAACCTTCAAACGCACGTCTGTTGTATTATAGCAGTCGGGTTAAGCTTGCAGTGTCAAGAACTTCCACTTGCCGCAGGAAGCAATCCGTCCCATAGAAAAGCAGTCTACGACTTTTCACACAGCAGTGGTGCGAGAACAAGCGCGAAGTCCTCCTGACCTCGGAGAAGTATCATCCCTAGACGCCGCCTCTCGCCGCCCTAGATCGTCGCTGCCACCCACCCCATCTCTTTCCGCCGCCCCCGTGTCCCACAGCTTCTTCTGCAAGCGCATCCACAGAGGCAGGTACGTCTGAGCACCCTCCCCCTTTTTGCTGAATCCGATTCTCGCCTTGCGCGCGTCAGTCGTCCCCGGGGACGACGATTGGTCCTCCACGCCCCCGACATCCGACCTGTTAGGCCTATCGGTGGTCTTCGCCCCACCCTTCACCTCTTCCTCGTACCACGCCCTGGCTTCGGCTTCTGCCGCCACGGTGTCCTCGCCCCTTGACGCCGGCCGCCCGGCGCGGGGCACAGCGGCGGCGGCGGCGGCGGGGCCATCGGCGGCGCGCTTTGCCCGCCTCACGAGCTCCCCCGCTTCCGCGACAACGTCCGTGATCGCCGCCGCTCCCGACATCCAAGCCCCCCCGTCGGCCTGTGCCGCGGCGCGAGCCCTGCTCAACCCCGCCTGCGCCTGCGAGATGGCGGCCGCCGCCTCTCGAGACGAGGGCAGGCCGCGTTCCGCCGAGGAGGAGGCGAGCTGCTCCCCGGCCTCGCTCAGGGTCTCGGCCAGGCCCACCAGGGTCTGCAGAGCACGGACCCTCTCCGCGGACACCTGGGGCGCCCGCTCCCGCGCGCGCGTCACCGTCGCCTCCGCCTGAGCGACCGCGACCGCCGCGGCCTGAACAGCGTCGGCCAGCGTCGATTCCCGGGCGCTACTCACAGCCTTGCCATCGCCCAACCCTACTCCGGCGTTGGCAGTTGCTGATGCAGCGGTGATGGCGTCGTGCGCAGCGCTCAGCGCAGCATCGGTGAGGGAGGCAAGGAGGGGCTCGCCGGCCGAATTCACCGTCTCCTGTAGAGAGTTGAAGGTGGCCGTAAGGCGATCCAACCGTCTGGCCGCCGCCCCGCGCTCGGCCTCGCGCGTACGTCGCTTCTCAGCGGCCTCCTCGGCAAACCTTTCGAGCTCACCCAGCTGTGCGGCCAGACCCTCAACGGCAGCCCGTCCTTCCGCGCCCGACCCTTCTCGCCGTTCGCCGGGGGACCACAGCCTTTCGGCGGCGACCGCAGCCTTCCCAGTCTCCTCGAGCGCCTGCGCTACGGCAGGGTCGCCGCCGAGCTGGAGCTCAGCCACCTGTGCGCGCAGCGCATCGCCCCACTGCAAGGCTAAAGCCAACGCGTCCATGGATTCGTGCCCCGTCTCGCCCGAGGAGCCTGATTTGGCTCGCTCCGCCGGGGAAGGAGAGGTCTTCGCCCCCCGAGACGCGATTAGCTCGAGGGCCTCGACGAAACCGGTAGCCTCCGATACGGCCTCTTCGTCGCGCGCGAGGCTCCCGGTGCCGCGACCACCGTCATCACGGCCGCCGCCGCTGCGGCCGCCGTCGGCGGCAAGGTAGCCGCTGCCCAAGGAGCTCCGCAGTCGGTCGCGCGCGCGGGCTAGAGCTGCGCTGGCCACGCGCACTGCCTCGCGCTTGCTGTCGACGACCCCGGCATCGGCAAGGGCCGCACTTGCCCGGCGAAATCGAGCCTCTGATTGAGCCAAGAGAGACCTGAGCTTGGCACGGATGCCGCGTATCTGCCCAAGTCTCTCGACGAGGCGCGCGGCGGCCTGTTCGGCCTCTGCCGCGGCCGTCTGCGCTGCATCCACAGCCCGTTCCGCCTCCTTCGCGGCATCGCCGGTCCCGGCCCTGAACGATTCAGCGGAAAGAGGCCGTTCAAGGCATTCTCGAGCTACCGAAGCCGCTTCTTCCGCCGCGGCACATGCTCGAAGAGCCTCGGACATGGGGTCTCCTTTCCTGCCCATAAGGCCGGCCTGAGCGGTCGATATCGAATCTTGCGGGGATCGCCCTTTCAGTTCTGCCTCGAGACCGGCCTGGGCCTCGGCGATGGAATCGCCGCTTGTTTCCAGAGCAGAGCGGAGCATCTGGCGCTGCGATGCAGCCGACTGTACGCGGGTGGTCTGATGGGTATTATGGTAGCGCCAAGGACAACAAGGAGCACGGTTGATCGTGTCAAAAAGCAATACGGGGTAGGTGCAAGACGCTAGCGTCAAGGCCCGAACGACGAAGGAAGACAACACAGAGCAAGCTGGCCTCCCAGGCGCGAATCCAACGGGTAGATAAAGGCTTCGTTTCCCGGCTTGTCCGCACTGCTGTATCTGTTGTACATGGTACCATGGCAGGATCCTTCCCTTCGAGGATAAAAAAAACACATGTCTAGAGTTAGATTGACTGCTACGCGGACAGCACCGGATGAGACGTTTTTTATGTTCTGCCGTGAACCAATTTAGGTTCCACAGCGGTGGTTCAACGAGATCCGCCGGGCATATCAATACCTCGACTTCTGAATAATCTCGATTCAGCGGGACCTCTCCTACCACCAGCCCCCAACTCCCTGGAATCCCGCGTTGGCTGCTCTGCTAACTTGCCTGTTCTTCGGCGGTTCGCTGCGCCGTTCTTACTTTCAGCTTGGCCTCCTCCACCTTCGCCTCCACGTCGCCAACAACCGCTCTCCCGCCCCTGCCGATCGCCGCCACGCCCGCTCGCGCAGCCGCCAGGGAATCTTCGGCGCCTTGCAGGGCACCCTCGCAGAGCTCCGACACCACGCCGGCGTGCGGGAGCACCGCGATGTCCTCCCGGGTCCTCGCTAGCGCAGCCTCTGGGCCAGCCAGCTGCTGCCACCCCCGGTTCATTCGCCGCACCACCTCCCGTGCCTCTCGGAACTCGCGTTCCGCGGTAGCGGCGGCCTGGACGGCGCTGTCCACGCGGTCTGCCAGGACCGCTTCTTGCGCCTCGCTCCGTTCTTTGGAGCTCTCTTCGACTTCCGTGCGGGCCGAGTTCACCGCTGATAGAGCATCGCGGACGCCCTGAGCCACCTCGCGAAATGACACGGTTCCGCTCGTTTCTGTTAGCTCGGAGAGGTCGAGAGCTAGGAGGGCCGCCGCCGGTCTGTCCAAGCGGTTAAGCTCCCGCCGAAGCCGCTCCTTGTGGGCTCGCACCCGCCGGTTTGCCCGCACCGCGGCCCTGTCCACGCCCCTGGCGGCGGCGAAAGCGGCGGTGCAACGCTCGAGGAACGCGTCGGCGCCGTCGCTTGACCCCGCCGCAACGCTCAGCACACTCTCGTAGCGCTCGAGGGCTTCCTGGAACGCCGCGCGACTGGCGGCCGGCACGTCCCGGGCCTTGATGGTCGCCTGAGCCTCCTCCACAAGGCCCTCGGCTTGCTCGAGGAAGGAAGCCGCGTCGTCGAAACAACAAACCGTGCGCTGAGTCTCGACAAGGTTTTCCTCTACGAGAGAGGCCTTTTCCAGGGCTGCCTGAGCGGAGTCCAGCAAGTCCGAAGGGTCTTCGGCCGCTTCCAACGCCATTAGCACCTGAGGGGCGTGGTGTGTAGCAGGCGAGCATTTACCCGGGGGTTGAGAAAGAGGAGCACTCTCGACAGCGAGCACAGCGTCACCTTATGACCATCTGCCATCAAAGCGTTGGAGAGGTGTTATTTCCTAGCTTTCGTCGCCAACTCAAAACAATACGACTCTTCTGCAAAACAAAAACAAAACCACAGTAATCACCTTCGCCGGGGGTGGATTATTAACACGAGAAAACAAGCCAAGGACTCGGGATCAAGAGCACCGCAGACCTGGTGCCAGGCCACCTAGCAGTGACGACGACAGCGGCAGCAAAAATCACGAAAAAGGTTGCTGACATTCACTTTGAAGACCCCCCCCCCCCCCCTCCCCCCCTCCAAATGGACCCAAGCGATCGGCACGCCCTCTTCACGACACCACGTTAAGGACGGGGCACAACTGCCACTTCGGCCTGGTCCTCACATTCACCGCCTCTGATCTCGCTTCCAGAACCATCGCCGCCGCCTCCGGATCGTCGGCGACGACGCTATCGGTGTCCAGACCCTCGAGTCGTCTCGCGGCCGACCACAGCTCGGCACACCTCTCCTGCCTCTCTTCCTCCTCTCGCTCCGCCGCTGCTCTCTCGCGCGCAACACGGTTCCCCGCTGCTTCGGCTGCTTGTTCGGCCAGCCCAGCGGCTGCCAAGACGGCGTCGTCATGCTCAATGTCTCTCGGTCCCAGTTCATCATCGGCAGCGCTGCCCACCGCCACGCACAAGGCGACTCGTACTTCACGAACGGCGGCGGTAAGGGAGCCCACCACAGCAGACCGGCGGGCTACCTTCGCCGCCTCTGCGTCGGCTATGACCGCCTCCGTCCTGGCCGCAGCGCGCTCCAGCGCTAAGACCGCGTTACCCCTTCTCCGGCCACGAACCTCGGCTGCAGCCACCGCCGCCTCTGCGACCGTTAGCCGCTGTAGACTGGATTCCACGCGCTTGTCAAGACCCGTCGCATCCCCAGACGCCTCTGCTTCCTTCTCGACGGCATCAAGGCCCTTCTTCGCTTCCGCCGTCGCCCGTGACGCTGACCTCTCCAAGGATTCAGGCGGAATCGGGCGCCGGAGCTCCTTGCCATCGGCACCGCCGAACTTCCACGATGCCGTGAGAACGCGCATGCGCTCCAGGGACGCGCGACGCTGCTCCGCGGAGGTGGCAAGCCGATCCACACGACCGTGGAGCACCGCTAGCGCGGCCTTTGATGACTCCAGACGCTCCTTGGCCCGGCACCTCGAACCGTCGTTGACTGCCGCGGCCTCCCTCTCGTGCTTGATGGTCTCCTGGGCTCGCTCTGTGGCGCCGCGGGCGAGACGAGCAGCGGACAGGAAGTCCTGGGCGAGCGCTTCGCACTCCTCGGGCGAGACCTGCCGGCCCCGACTGTCTCGCCTCCCCGCAGCCGTCCCCGCCTCTCGACAAGCATTCACCGCGCGCGCCACCGCGGGACGCCCCAGGAGTCCAAGGGCTTGGGCTTGGAGCGACAGGTCGTCCACGCGGGCGCGCTCCTTGTCGATAATGGCCCGAGCCTCTGCCTCCGCACCCTCTATCCGGCGAGCAAGCGTAACAGCAGCTCGAGCTGTATCAACACCTCGTAGGGCGGACTCGAGGCTCCCGCTTGCCACCAACGTTTCGACTCGGCTTTGATCAGAAACGCCCGCCCTTTCCTCTTTCTGCAGGGTCCCGTACATTCTCTCCAGCCCCCTGCGAGCGTTCCCCAAGGCCTCCGGTACGCCGGGGCTGCCGACAAGCCCGCAATCCGTCGCGTCCGCCTCCATCTCTGTCACCTCGCCGAGAGCCATGCTCACCAGTGCTCTCGCGCGATCAAGGCGGGTGCCGTGCTCGCTGGCGACCGTCTCCGCCGCCCGCTGCAGCTCCTCGGCGGCGTGCGAGGCTCCTCGCGCGGCCTTCTCGTAGGCGGCACCGCCTTGTGGTGACCCCAGGATACCGGTGTCGGCCCTCAGACGGTCAGCCTCGGCGAGAGCAGCGTCAAGCTTGTCCAGCGCTTCCTGGAGCTGGTTCCCACCGGTGGTGCCTCTTCGCCTCCCTATGCCTTCCGGTCCGAGCATCGCTCGCCGCAGCGCCCTCGCTTGCATCAGCCACCGGTCTCCCGCCCTCCTAGAGGTTTCGTCTTGCGTGCCGCCTTTTGGCCGGTGTGGCTGTTCGTGCTGCCGTCGCTTTGCACACGCGGCGTCCACCTTGGCCACCACAGCCCTTACCTTAGCCTTGCACGTGGCGAGAGAGGGCTCACCCGCCTTCGCACCCGATGCTGCGCGGCCTCCCTGCAAGGGTGTCGAGCTCGACTGCCTCAAGCGTTCGGCACAAACGTCGACAGATGCCTGCACCTTGCCTAGCGCCCCCCAAAGCACCGGTAGCGCCTTGATGTTCAGCGTATCGGCGCTACGTAGGCGTGCCCTTGCAGCCTCAAGTTTCTCACGACAAGCAGAAATTTCTGCGAGCGCCGTCGCTTCACGAGATGCTGTCGGACACGTTTCAAGTCAGGTCATACGGCGGAGCAGCGGGGTGAAGAGAAAAAATTGCAGACATATCAAAGAGGGGGCGCGCAGACGCAAACCTCAGGTATTTTATGATCAAATACACGCTGCACTTGGCTTCGACAGGGAAAAGCCGTGTGAAGTACCAAAGGGTTTCGCTGAAGTGAGTATTTCCTACGATGCCATGCCCCACAACACAGCAAACCGCAACCCAACCAATAACTCACCTGCATTGTCCAGCACAGCGATGTCCTTCCCAACTGCTCGTTCCGCATCCCGCACGAGCCGCTCTGCAGCCTTTACCGCTCGCCGAACCTCCTCGGGTCGTCCCGAAAACCTGCTGTATTCCCCCGCCTTGAGCGCCCTGCGCAATGACGCAACCTCTTCTAGCGCTGCGGCAACGCTAGCCGCCCCCTTCCCAGGCGCAGCGAGGGGATGTTTCCCAAGCGCAGACGAAAGAATCGACAGCCGGTCGGTGAGACTGTACAGCTCTCCTCCCGCAGCTCGTACCGCCGCCTTGAGCTTTGCGGGCTCCCGGTTGCTGCTGAGGCTTGCCAGCGCCGCCAAAAATCCCGAGGAGGAATCGCGCTTGCCGTTTCCTCCGGCCCTCGGCAGGCCAGCAGCGTCCAGGTCTGCTTGTCCATTGAGAGTTGCATTCATTCTTCCAGCAAATAGTCTAACCGTCGATCGCGCCCCGGCGACCTTGGTATCTTCTGCGACGATCCCTGTTTCCCGTTCGTCTTTGTCCTCTGTGACCACTCCCTCTCCCTTCCACGTTTTCAGGTAGTCCTCCTCGTCCTCAACAGTAGGAGCTTTCATTGCATGTGCGCTTGTCGTCGGTTCCGGAGCGGCCGACCCAAAGTCCGCCGCCGCCGCCTCCCCATCACGACCCGCTTCCCCTTCCTCCTCCACTCCTAAGCCCATCCACGCGTAATCCTCAAATGATGCGCCCCACCCCACAAAATCGCTCTCAACCTCGCCGCTACTGGTCCCGTCGAGCGCCGTGCCATCTTCTCCCACGAAAAGTCCAAAGTCTGCCGCCCAAGATCCCAGCCCCGAAGCATCGTCTGCTCCTTCGCCTACCCCCCTCCGGCCTCGCAGCACCTTCAGAAAGGAGAGCACGCTAGCTTCCTCGTCAGATTGCCCTTCCGGTCTCATCGTCGTTCCGGCCGCGTCACGGGGAGATTTGTCTTGGGCGGCTTCCCGGACCCTCTTTCCCATCTCCCTGCCGGCCACCATCCCTTTGTCCGCCGCCCCGACACCGTCATCATCAAGCTCACCGGTGATAAACCCAATCTCTACTGGAAACACCCCTTCGGCGCCTACTGTCAACCCACCACACCCCTCACCCAGACCACCAAGGCAGCCGCCACCGCTTGCACTACCCTCTCCATTGAAACCTCTTGTCTCTACCCCCCCAGCAGACATGACCAAGGACACCCCGCCAGGCCGACACCCCTCCCGTCCCAGTCCAAGCCCCAGCCCCCCCGTTGCCGCCAGCACCCCCCTTCTTGTAGTTCTTCTTGCTGCAGTAGTACCCGCCCGAGTCTGAAAAAAATAATTCTCGCCGTACGACGGAAAGGTAGCATCGCGACCCCCGTCCCCGTCGAGGGACATGCGCGGCTGCTGTTGCGTGCGGAGCGGCTGCTGCCGCCGCCGTTCCCCTCCACCCGCTTGAAACCCTTGGGGCGTCAGGGACGGAACAGGGGATATGGGCGGCGACGCGTAGGCTTCGCCGCCTCCTCCTCCTCCTCCTCCTCCTCCGCAAGACCCCCGCCGCGATGCGTCAGACTCAGGCCAACACCGTCAATTAGAAGTAGCGTGGTACGCAGCCGGGGCGGCGGCCGTGAACGCGGAGGGAGGGGTGGCTAGCACGCCGTCCCCGCCCGTAGTCCCCCCCCCCCTCCCCTCGCCGTCCGCGTCGCCGCCCGCTCGGCCATCTGTTGTCCTGCCGCTGCTGCTGCTGCTGCTGCTGCCGCTACTCAAGACAGCAATGTTGTTGTCTTCTGATCGGTCGGTTACTGGCACTTCCGGGGAATCTGGAAGCCTCGCGTAGAGGTCGCTCACTGCCTCGCCCGCAAGGCCCAGAGATGACCGTGCGTGCTGCAGCAGCAACAACGACGGCATGAACAAGGTCGGCGCACACAAGCAGCATCGCCGCAACCAACAACAAGGCGGAGAGGGGCATCGGCATCGTGAGCGGGAGTGTTTGCACGCAAGACGACCGGGGGGCTTGGGTAGCAGCAACCGCTTATCTCGCTGGTATGCATAACCCTTGAAAAACACAGCGGGCACAGCGCATGTAGTATGCAAAGGGTGCCCTCGAACTGACGGTGCAGGCATAAGTAATGAAACAAATATCACTGTAATGGCCCCTGTACAAGGCCGCATAGTGGCAAGGGATTGGCCGGCGGTAAACCAGCGCTACTCCTGGTAGGAAACCAGTTGAAGATCTCATCCGTGTCACGCGCAACAAAAAAATGGCCTTATGCAAGGCGAACGGCCTTGTTTATGTGGCCTTATACAGGAACGGACCACTACTGAAAGGACTGGCCTGTGCTCCTAAATAGAGAGGACGACGTGCGCCGCCACCTGCGGACGAGGTAAAGTTAACACACCTCGAGCATCGCCCTGGCTACCGCTGGGTCTCGTTCTTCTTCCACCCTCCGCCGCACGAACGACTTTGTACCTCTGGCCATCAGCTCCTCGCACACTACCCCCGTCATGCCCAGCACCTCTTCTATCGCCTGATGGCCGGTTGCAAGAAGGAAGGGGGGGGGCGTACTCTAATGTTTAGAGGTAGACCATTGACCACACGTCCTCGAGAGGACGGAGCGTTGTTCCCACAGCACCGATCACCGATGGCCAATCGCTCCTTCCTACTGTGCCAAAGGTGGCTCAAAAATGTCTTCCCTAGGCTATCGATCCGATCGATATCACTCCCCGCCTTTTCAACTCACTTCGTATGTCCCAGTACAGCTACCGTCTTCTCCTGGCTCTTCCATACCTAAAACAATATCCTTGTATCTTCCTTCAACTTTTCCCAGCTCAGTCATGTACATTTCCCTCTTCCTCTTGTACAACGGACATTCAGCAACGACATGGACCCGGTATTCGCTCAGAGCCGCAATCACATTTGAACTTGTCGTCTCCATCGTCTACCTCCCGAACTCTTCGTCTACGTTCTTGAAGGCCAATGTCCCCGGTCCTGAATTTGATCTTCAGCTTTGTCCCGGTATCCATTGGTCCATGTAGGTACTCCTTGGATCCTATTCCTTCTTCCAATATTCTGTACACATCTTGACCCTCTTTTTATCTTTGTTTTTTTTTGTTAGAGGGGGGGGGGGGCGCATTCGTGGAACCTAAACCAGGACAGAGCGTGAACGCAAGCAACTGCCAGAAAGAAAAAAAAACGAGGCAACGAGTTATAGTGTCACCTTGAGAGACGCGGTATCGACGGCGCCCAGCGCCCACTTCCTCTCCAGCTTCCCGTGCAAGAAGTCGAGGTAGAGGCGAGACGAAACCCCTCTGTGAACATCTATGGTCCTCGCCTTGCTAAGTCCGAGCGCTAGTGCTAGAGAGTCTCGCTTCTGCAGCACCGGGTCGTCGGTGGCCAAGCTAAACATTTCCGGTCGCGTAACCGGGGGAAGGGAATGAATCGTTGGGGGGGTGGGGGGGAGGGATACATTAGTGTTCGACGAGGAGTGCTTGGATGATCGACAAGCCACCCGCATCAAGGGGCGGGGCGCACTTATACGTTATTTTCTCCGTCAAGGAATACAGAGGGCGGCGAAAGCAACCGAGCATTGCTCTTCGTTCACCTCGGTCTTCGTGGTTCGAGCCAGGGTTAATCTCGAGCGCCGGACATAGCAACGGGATTAGGCAAGCTGTTATTAGTAGGCGGGCGAAAGGAAGTTTTGGGTACAGCAACGGTCCCCGCACAAGGTCACGCGCCTAGTGCCAAGGGGTCTGGCCGAACCTATACCGGGCACCCGGCACCATGTAGAGCATGAGAACGCCATTTTGCCGGATTTTTTACACGGAGAGACCGGCCGTGTTTGTGCGGCCATATACAGGGGTTACTGCTGTTGTTTTGTTGCGACAAAAGAGTAAGGTTAAGGGTCGTTCACCTGTCGCGACGAGGGGAAAAGGCCTCCTCCAGAAAGAAGGTGTACACTGACAGTGCGGGCTTCGATCCCACCGCCTGGCCAACGCCCTCCGAGTACAGGGGGTCCGACCGCCCAGTGGTGGACGCGCGGAGCACCACCTTTTTGTACGAGGAAGGAAGGAAAAACAAACACTTGAAACAACAAAACTTTTACGCACATTTGTCTCGTTTCTCAAATCGCAGCAAATCGGTTTCTCTCGGCCTCTCACAGGCCGGCATATGTTTAATCTTGGAGTTGGAGTAACATTGGGCGGTCTATGGTGTCGTGTTTGCTCTGGCGGGGTTCTCCCTGAGCACCGCAGGCCAAAATCACTTCAACTATTAGGGTATATTCGGCTATTCTCTGTGTACCGTTCGGCCTGTCTGTCTCTGTCTAGTGCTTAAGCTGGTGCTGCACTCGCTGCTCTTCTCTTGCGCATCTTTGGCGGCAAAGCTACAAACTATCCACCGGTGCAAGTGTTATAGCGAGAGCTTTGCCGTCGACGAGCTACCCGAATGCGTCTCCAAGCTAACACTGCTGTACCTCCAGTTCCTTCGATGCCCCTGCCCTCTCACACAAGGAAGCTAGCCTCAGGACTCGTCCCATTATCTCGTCAGCCCTCATGCCCAGCTCCTCGGCATGACCCAGTCCTTCTCCGTTGCGCGGTTTGGCGACAGCTGCGACCGATTGCTCACCGACCGCACTTCCATCACAGTCAGCGAGCGCGGGTGTGGTCACGTCGTCCATGGCACCACCACCGCTGTTGACCAGCAGAGGACTTGCAGACGAGAAGGCGGTAGCTGGCATCGCCTTTGGCATGCCCTTTCGGGCATCCTTCAGCGCCTACATAGGGTACGTACGTGCATGTGAGGAAGGGCGGGGGAGGGGGGTAGCCAAGTGGGATTGTACACTGGTCTGCATGCAGGCTGAGGTCGGGGGGGGGGGGGGGCGGGGACGGAGGGGGGGTGTAGAACGTGTGCTTTGTCACCAGTTTGCATGCAGGCTGAGGTCGGGGCAAGCTTCGATTGTGAGTCCAGGTGTGTCCACTGGACTTCCTGGACACCATTCGTCATTGATCAACAAACGGCAGTTTCTCAGAGATGGCTCTACCTCAATGGCGACGGAGACCTCCTGGATGTTTGGTGCCACCACTTCGAAGAAAGCTCCCACGAAGGCAGCGCGGGCTCCGTCTTTGGACATGCCGAGCCGGTCCCTTGACAAAAAAGTTGCGCAAGCGTAGCACACGAAATCAGACTATCCGGTATGAAAGAGTAAGAGACAATCGCGATAATTTTTTCTCAGACCCTCTAGCATTCCAATCTTCTAGTTACTCTCGGTACTCCAGAATCCGACCCGCTACTTCCCACGGAAGAGGTGGGTGGACGATATATAGAACCAAATGAGCTCTAAGCACCCCATGCTTGCCAAGGGAGACAGAGACCATCTAGCCGTATTTCTCCTCCCCCCTCTCCCCCCCTTCGAGAACGTCGACGAAGACATAGGACGGTAGACGACGAAGACGACAAGTTCAAATGTGATTGCGGCTTCGAATGCGAAGACCGTGTTCATGTAGTCGCGGAATGTCAGTTGTACGAAGAGGAGAGGGAAGTGTACATGACTGAGCTGGCAAAAATAGAAGGGGGGTACAGGGAGATGTTTGAAGCATGGAATAGAGAGGAGAGGACGGTAGCTGTACTGGGGAGTAGGAAGTGGTTTGAAAAGGCGGAAAGGGACATCGTTAGGATAGACAGACTAGAGAAGACATTTTTGAGCCACCTTTGGCAAAGTAGGAAGGAACGATTGGCCATCGGTGATCGGTCCTGTGGGAACAATGCTCCGTCCTCTCGAGGACGCGTGGTCAATGGTCTAACCGCTAAGGCATGCAAAACATAAGAGTACGCCCCCTTTCTAAGAGTACGCCCCTTTCCCCCCCCTCGTTGTTTGCCATCGGGGTTGGATTTTCGTCGCTTGGCAATGACGTTGTAAAAAAAGCTGCCCCCCCCGGTGTTTGCCATCGGGATTGGGTTTTCGTCGCTTGGCAACGACGTTGTAAAACAAGCCAATTCACTCTGTGAACTTGGCAACCAGGTTACCGTTTTTTCTTTTTTTACCTCGTTTTTTTTTTGGCGGTAACCATAATGGTGGTCGAGTAGATCATGTTGTGCGGGGTGGAGAACCCTCACTCCGCGCAAGGGGGATGATCGCACCACGCTGTGATAAAATGGTGAAGCATCCTCGAGGCAGTTACACAGTGCTTACAACTGTCTCTGGAAGTGAAAGCACCAGAAAATAAATCAAGTCATACGTAGCTGTCATCCGTACGCAAGGAAGTAAGCACAAGATGCCGAACACCCTTAGCAGGATGCAGCTCACCCTTCATGCGACTCGCCAAATACCTCACGGCGCTTCGCGCTTGGTGATGTGAGAGCCTGGTCCGGTGAGAACCCGGCGTGCTCCGTCCCGGCTTTGTAGGGATGCGAGGTCAATGGTCTAACGACTACGGCATGCACGACTATGAGTACACCCCCCCCCTCCCCACCTTGACGTCTTAAGCGCCATGGCTACAGTCTCCGGCTGCTGTCCATCTCCCTCGTCCACCTCGGCCTCCGCCACTGCCGTCAACAGCTCCAGAGCGGCGGCCTTCAAGACCGGCCCGCACGTGATGTCGTGGATCGTGTACAGCTGCAGCGAGCGCACGTGGGTTGAGGAGCGGAGATAAGAACACCGTTCGGCTAAAAGAGAAGGAGGCGATCACCTGGGGGTTGCAGGCGGGGAGAGAGACGCGGATCCAGCTACCACCACTACCACCGCCAAGAAACATGGGCTGTGCGGAGGCTTTCACGCGCCCCAAAAGACTCCGAAGCTCCGCAGCGGTAAACTCAGCAGCGCACGGAATCTTGCAACACGAGACCAGCCGTCTTTCACCATACAGTACCAGGAACAAAAAAAAAAACTGGCTGGCGTTGCTAAGTAGAGCACCTGTTCCTTGGAAAGGCCCAAGGCCTCGGCAGCAGAGTCCAGGGCGGCCTTGTCGGTGTCGGAGATGTCGGAGATCACCCCCGATACAGGTGGGCCGCGGCTTTTCTCGCCTTCCTCCAGTAGGTTGGTCAGCTTCGCGTGGTACGCCTGAGACGATGATAAGTGGGTGGGCAGCGTTGGAACCACCCCAGGCGGGAAGGTTGCAGGTTAGATTATGCTCGACCTTGTTTTGGCTTCTTCGGGCTGTGTGTACTATAGTCAATCGGCCCAGCAGTCTACACCCCCCCAGGGGGTACAGCACAACCTTTGTGGTGCGCGGGTCGTCCACCGCTGTTGCGGTAACGTCGCAGCTGCTGTAGCGTCGCAGGAGGATTTTTATGCCTTTTACGCACGTGTCCAACCACCACGGCCCCTTCGAGCTGCGGTGGTATTTAACGATTTAACTCACCTCCATGCAGGTGTCGAGGAAGGTGTCAGCAGGCACAGTGAGGTCTTGCTGCAGCTTGGCGACGTCCTGTGAAAATGGCGTGCAAACAACACTCAGGCCAAAATAGCGCCCGCGAAAACAACGTGACCTACATTGATACCTGGCGAGCTATCCCGTCATTTTACCACAAACAAAACTGTCAGGCGACAAACGCACTGTCAATAAGAAAGCCAAACTACGCGTGTGTAGCTCTAAAAACAAACACGTTCCAGCTGTAGATGGGCGATTAATATCTCTTGCCAGGATAGCACCACGAAGACACAAGCCTGCCAACCTCTAGTTGCGCCAACCGCCCTAGGCGTCGGAAGCAAAAACGATGCCCCAACAAAACACAAAGGGAAACCTCCGAACCTGAGCCGTGAAATCCTTGCGCTCTATCGTCTCCGCGAGCCTCCTGGACAGCAAGGGGTTCACGACAGAGACATGGATCTGGCGAACGTCGGCCTCGGCGAGCTGAAGCATGCTACCCAGCTCCGCCAACGTACCCTGCCACACGACGAAAACGGAGAGACAAACCAAGCGCATGTGACGATATTTTTTGTCAACACAGCGCGTTGCTGCCATGCTTGCGGCTACCACGCCGAACCGCATATACTTGAGGGCGAAAGCCGCGTGGTCAGTAAGGGCACAGTCGGCGGCTTGGATCAAGGTCAACTTCCCTTTCCAAGGCAACGGGAGTTCTTCCAACGAACCATGGCGATCGATACCTATGGCGCTTGGCGCGGTACCTGCACACATCTCCTCCTTAACTGGGGAGGGGGGGGGGTGAGGTGAACAGGCAAGGCCATCGTACCGACACATGGCGGCACGGCCAAAAGCGGAGGCGCACCACGAAAACAGCACACACCGTTACGACGGATGCTTCAACCTGTTGTCAGCTCTATGGCACAAGCCCGACCACAATACCGCTTAGAAGACTCCCCTCTCTATCTGTGGCGTTACGGAACCAGTCCGAACACATCACCATCCGCATATAGGAGACAGCAGTCCGTCCTTGCTTCTTCGAGACAAACGCCGTCAAAGGATAGTCTAGTTTCCAACAGCAGCAGTTACATATTGGCCCGCAGTACCTTATCGTCCTCGTCGAGATGCGCGTCTTCCAGCGCGTGTTCGAGCTGTATACGAAATATCGCTCGTTTCTCGGACTCTGCCAGTCGGAGGGAGGGCGAACCGACCAGAACCCCGGTGAAGTAGCGGGAGCAGTCAGCGTCGGGAGTGTTCTGCTTCAGATCACAACACAAGCGCAAAGGACAAGGATAAGGGTAAGGGTGCGAGAGCACTTTTGAGTTGGAAGGTCTAGGTCGTCTAAGGGTTGTGGTCCACCAGGCGGAGGTGGACGCCACGACAAACGACATCACGCGTGAGCGGGCGTGACGAGGAGAGAACACAGCAGCCAATCGGTGCGCCAGACAGCGTAGACGCTGAAACGGCTGAAACTAGCAGCGAACCGCAACAGCACTCAGCACCGCATCTGGGAGAACTTGTGCAAGAACATGGGTCGCAACCAATCCGGGAGATGGGAAGTCCCATCAGAGTGCAAAATGCGCAGTATACATCGCCCCCCGCATCGGCACACGCCCCAAGAACGACTTAGCAGCAGACAGCAATCGGTATATTCTGTTTGTAAAACGCAGATTCAAAAGGCCGCCACACACGCACCACCGTACATAGCGACGTCTTTCTGTGTAACGCACTCTTCCGGTTGGCGCAACCTCTCTCTACCGCACATGACATACAGTAGTCGGACACCGAGCTTGACCACCCCACACACCAACACGCAGTGCGCCCACACCTACTCCAGCGCCCGTCCCACACACAACACCACACGCCAGACACCACCCTAGTCTACCGACCCGCAGTTGCAGCCTCAGCAGACACCCACAACTTGATCGGCGTCTCTACGTACCGCCCCACTTCCCAGGGCATCTGTTGGGGGTCCGTGCGTACCTGCACGAGCAACGACACCGCCTCTCTAAGCTGGAAAACCTCCGTCATCGACCGCAGAACGTATGACTCGGGGGAACCTCCAGGGCCGCCGCCCCCGCCGTTCCTCATGGCAACCAAAGCCACTTCCAAAGACCGGAGGGCAAGCTTGCTGGGGGTTCGCAGATAGGATGGGTTGCGGAGGAGGGGTGGGGGGGCATCCGGTTTAGGGACATGCCAATGGGATGAATTGTGCATGTTTGATCGCCGCTCGATTGCATTAGAACGGTCTCTTGCCGTACACCGTTGTCACCATACTCCCGTTACACCCAAGTGTTCCGCTTGGCCACAAAAAAGTAGATGCAAACTTCAAACTGTATGAACTATTCGTTCCGCAACGACAGCCTCTCGGTTGTGGAGCAATCGGGCTTCAACTACCAGTCGCACACCCGCACATCCGCCCGTACTTTCTTGCGGAGGATGGCGTGTCTGTCTTACCGGATGGTTTCCTTCACGACAGCGTCGGCCGCCGCCATGGTCAGCTGCAAGTCCGCCTGCCTAGACCGGAGCTTTGCTCTCAGGGCGTCCACGCCTGGTTCGCCCCGTTGTAACCCCACGGCCTCGGCAAATGCCGCTTGTATCGCCTCCCTGTGTGACGTAAAACCCACGGCGAAATGTGAAATAACAGCAGCAATGTTCACACGGGAACACACAAACAAAACATAATATCAACGAAACACAATATCGTGAGACACATTTGACGGTGGATTGCAACGTACAAGTGTGCGGAATCACAAACCGCTAAATACAACGTCATGGTAAGAACTCGGAGAAGTCATAAATCAAAAGCGCAGGACTGTCCACCCGAGGACAACGGACCAAATAAACAACGCGAACTGATGTCGAAGCGCGTTCTAGCAGGTACCCGGGCACCGAAGACATCGCGGCCCTGAAGACATAAAAAAACAAAATCGCTGCGACACGAGGTGGTGTACTTCTCTGGTGCAGGTATCAATGTTCACCGTCCACCTTGTTTGGCGAATTTTGTTCCCATCCCTTTCGTCTTTCGTGTCCTAAAAAATTACCTGTAGACGGGCGCGGTGACCGACTCCAGCGCTCGTTCGCCCTCGAACTGGCTCACGCTCATGATGCCTCTCAAGCGACTCAGCCACAGCCGGTCCCGGTCGTCAAGCCTCCCATTGGTGTCCAGCAGCCTCTGCGGCAAAAAACGCAGCAACAAGACTATATTATGTCACCTACTACTTCACGTGAAAAACTTCTTAAAAACTAACAAAGGTTCGTAGTGTCGCCGCCCTCTCAACATGAGTCATGAGCACATGCCGCGAGCGGGCTCGAGGCAATCGCACACGCGGCTTGCCCCCGACCGGGTGGCCAAAACAACACCACCCTCAAAACAACAAAACAACCACCGCCGCCGATAACCAGCCGCGAAACACGTGGGCGTCTCCATTCGATAGGCGCTGACTCCACAGACAGCAGGCAGCAGCTCCAGCATAAATAAAGCCGGCTACCTGTATGGCTGACTGGTAGATGTCCAGATGCATGCCCCCGGCCACCACCTCGCTAACCCCGAGCCTCCTGCGGGTTCGGAGCAGAACCTCCCCGGAGAAACTCTCCGGCCTCGATGTCACGTCTTCTAAAACTGACTGGTTTTCGAGGGTCACCGAGAAAAGGGGTCCAAAGACAAGTCCGCCGGCATCAGCACTCATTCCTCTTGTGACGTGCAACCGGACAAGCTGTTGCATGTGAACAACGAGGTGGCGGCAGTAGGACCAGGTCGTGACTACGATCGCGACGATCTGTTCTGATTTTATCGTCGTATTTACTATTACCAATTTTGGCTCGCAGTTTCCGCCTACTCTACGGTCTCGGCTAACGAGCTCTGATCCGCGGCCACACAGAAAGGGATCCCTCTGCGGTGCCTCTGCCTTCATATAAAAATTTGGCAAGGGTTCATAGTCATTTTGCTTTGCACAACTCTCGGCTTGAAACAGTGATACATAACCCCGCCCGGAAGCTTGTCCAATACCTCTGAAGCACGCCAACAACTCGCGCGTCAGCGCTATCGAACAGAAGTCCCTGTCATCTAGAACCACAGAGGGTATTAGAGCACACTCTCGTCTATCCTATTCTGTCCTGTTCACCTGGTAGCAGGGCGCGGCGTACTGGGTCACCTTGCGAAGGAGGTCCACCTGCACCCGCAACAGACAGAGGCCACGCGAGACGCAGGTTCGGGGGAGAAGCACATCACCCAGGAGTGACAGCAGCAGCAGCAGCAGCAGCAGCAGTGACAGCAGCAGCAGTGACAGCAGCAGCAGAAAGAAGCAGCAGTGACAGCAGCAGCAGAAAGAAGCAGCAGCAGCAGAAAGAAGCAGCAGCAGCAGAAGCAGGAGCAGCGACGCTGCGTAGACTTGACAATCACAATAGCCTGCCCGGTTCGGTTGTTCACCGCACGCACGTGCGGCATCTAGCTCTGCTGCGATACACGTTCCGCTCACGAGCCGTGTCCTTATACAGCACCTGCGACATCCCCCCGAGCTGACTCCGAAGTCGCGCACACTCATCCAGGTACCCCTCGTCCGTTGTGCCCTCCTGGTAGAACATGCGCTCCGACAGGTAGAGCATCTTATCCATCGATACCGGCGCGCCCACCGAGCTCACGGCATCCTCGACAACCTGTCAGTGTGCGAGAGAGAGAGAGAGAGAGAGACGACAACGATAGCCCGGCGGCGGCGGCGGTAAGATGAGGCGCAAGACCTCGAGACGGTAGCTGGCACAGAGACAGCGCAGAGCGTATGCATACCTACCATCCTATGTGTCCGCGCCGTAACAAGGAACACCGGGATGAGGTCACGGCATGCCGCCGTGAAGCCCTGCGCGGGGTGTTCCCCGAAGTATTGGTGGTACTTACCTAGCTCCCTGATGTAGAACCGACTCCGCTTGCCGAGCGACAACGACGACAAATTACGAACCGCCTGCTTCCTCTGCATACACGCTTGATCGATCACTATTTTGTGACCTGCCTGTTTTTCTCTTCGCGTGAAGCGGATGCTCAATGAACCGTAGACGCCCTCTGCGACACAACAAGACGTGACGTCAGAGACAAAGCTATCCGCCGCGACACGAACACGAAGACAACACGGCCGGAGAGAAAGGAAAGAAAGATAGCTTAAAAATAAAAATAAAACCTACCTTGTGGTGGCACGAGGCCACCTCCTGGGAGCTGAGCCCAAGCGTCCATTTGAGCATCACGAGGCGGCCCAGGTCCTCCGTGTTTGGCTCGTGTTCCGCCACAGTGTCGGCGAGAACCGACGAGTAGATCAATCGAGATGACCCCCACAGCTCGGGACCCTTAACGAAGTACTTCTCTGCTAGATCCATCAGCTTCGCACGCCAATGGTGATTGGGGTAGGTAGGAACATGGGCGGGGGGGGAATTCGCGGTCGGCGGAACGGGCCATGAGCCTAGGTCTCCAGTTGGTGGTTACATGTGGACAAACGCATCACACCTCAGGAGTCAGTCGTCCTAGAGCACGCCCCCCACCCCTCCCCGCTGCCAGAATGAAAGCGTTACGCAAGAACAACACAAGTACAGATGTCGTTCTGATCGGCTCGCTTGAAGCCCGGCCCGTGTGGTCACAGGGGTTGTAACCTCCCAAGCCCATACCAACGAAATAAACATGATCGAAGCAAAGCACCACAGTCCAAAAGCCAGCCCCACCTGCTCTCTGGTGACGTTGCCCGCTCCCTCCTTCCTCACGAGCTCCAGCAGGGCGTCCGGAGCCTGTCTCTTTCTCGTCGCCACGACCGCCTGTCTCAACACGTTAGCCGCGATGGCCAGCACCGCCCCTCCCGCCGCCCTCACCGCCAGGTACCTGGACGGAGTGACCGACAAGCCGATAGCCGTCGCCAGGGGGACCATGCCCTTGACCCCCGCTCGCCACACGAGCCCGGGGGGTCGGGTACCCGACTGCTGTTGCTTCTGCTTCGCACGCGCACGGGGCGGTGGTGTACCGTAAGGGTGGAGGCGAAAGACGCGTGCGAGGGTGTGTTCGGAAAGCGTGGTTCAACCGGTGCGAGCGCCAAGTCTGCTCGTTGTATGCATACGGGTCGCATGGGTCCCACGAGGGTGTGTGCCTGAAAACCAGCACTATGGGTCCCTATAGCGGCTAAACACCAAAAGGCAGCGGTGTTCAATCCCGGGGCTAAGTATTTACCAATAGTCATTCTTTCGCATTTAACTACCCAATGGCACTAAGCTGCTAACCCAGACATCCAAACCAGAAAGAGATGTCTAGAGTGACATCGCAACAGCAGCGCTCTGCGACCTGGGAACTTGGCCAGGAGAAGTGTTGCCCCGTACGCTGCTGCTGTAGGTACAACTACGCAGCTCTCCCTTCGCACCTTCGGTCCAGACACTCGCTTCGTCTTCTTCGTCGTCGTAGCCGTCCTCCCAAACAGCTGGCCGATGCTGATGGCCCGTCCCCGGATGTCGTGCGTCGGGTCCCGACCTTCCGCTGCGGTACCAAACGCTGGACGCTCCGTTACCGCTGCTACTGGTCCTGGTGCTGCTGTCGCCGCTGCTCCAGCTGCCTGGCCATCGCCCGAAACGTTGATGGCATCAACCTCTTCCCCCTGCGGCGGAAGTGTCCTTTGATCAACCCCGTCATTGCCGTTGTACCCGTAGTCGTAGTCGTAGTCACCGTGCGGAGGCGTCGACGCTCGGAGTACTTTTGAGGAGTGATAACAACAGGGGGAAGAGGGAGGGGGACGGGAGCGACAGCAGCGGGCCTGAGCCATCCGTAGTAGTAGTCGCTGTCATTGTTGTTGGTTTGCTGCTGTTGCTGTCGCTGTGTACACGTCTGGAAGAACGCTCTAGGCTCTGCGAACCAGGGCTTGTCTTTCTCGAACTGGTCCAAACTGGACAAACCAGGGTACGTCCGCGGGACATCGAATGTCCAAAAAATCGGACCGCATCAGGTCGGAACAAACAGAGCATGGACATGATACATACGGCATCACTCAGGCTCCGAGACCGGGCAAAAGCACCAATACTGAAGTTGAAGTACGACATGCTTCGTAAAAGTGGCGCGATAGGAGCTTTCCACGCCTAAACTGCGAATGTTAATGTTTCGACCCAGAGAGAGAGGCGAACCCGCATTATAGAGTCAGAGGATTATGAGACTCCCAGCTGCAGCTGAAGTAGTAGGAGGTGGAGAGATGGCACCTCCCCTAGCCCGACCTTAAAGCTCGATTCGATTGCTCCAATTGCTCCACGACCAAGGGGGTGTGGAAAGAGCCCAATACGTCTATGGAAAGATGAGATGTTTCCAGAACCACCGTTGTTGGTGTTGGCACAAGCTCAGCTTGGTTGTGGAGCAGTCGACCTTTGAAAATCGGTGAAAGGGGGGGGGGCAATCTTCTCCTCTCCGCCTCTTGCCTCTTGCCGAGCTGCTTGGATTCGAATCCCGATCTTCTTCGGCACTGCTGTCAACCTACTACTGTACTCTATTCTACATGTATATCGCGTTCGTATTGATTTTTTGCGGTAACAAGGATCTGCTTTTCAGATTGTATATGCAAACCCTTGTGGGGATGATATCCTGTGAACACGTACAAGGCGCCCGCATCAGTTCAACCAAGTACGGATCTGGTACATACTGCTTCTACAGGTCTAAATAGATAAAAGGTATCTACTGAAGGAGCAGCGATCGGAACGTTTTTCTACATTCCTCAAGAGAACGACACCTACTTGAGCCAGATGAATCAAGAGCTACACGATCGGCTTCCAATCTGACGTAGATGCACATAATATTTCGGGTTGAAGGGGCTGTAGGTCAACAAGTGCCCCACAACCTGCCCACAAGAACCCTTCTCTTGAGCCTTCAGCACCAGTTTAGCAGTTTGTAGACTAACGGGTGTCGCGGAGAGACATACCATCCTTTCGTGGAAACGAGGAGAGACGGATACTGCCGTACACGTACAACGGCCTTTGTCAAGCAGGCTATGGAAACATATGATGAAGGTCACAGTGCCGCCAATTCTCAGCTTCAGAGGAAGCGGATCGAGAAGCAGTGGCGTGCCAAGTATGGGAAGTGCGGATGCGCAGCATCAGGGATATTCCAGGCAGTCGCGGACCCTACAAAGGATACTTTTTCCACACACACACCGACCCTTTTACCCACCTGATTTCCAGTGCTTCCTTGCTGTCCATCCCTGGGTAGGCGTCGTGGTCCTCTTGAGGCCAATAGGAGGTGCAAGCCCGGAGCAACAAACCAAGGACAGCACCAACACCGTCGTTGCTCTCTTTATCATCGTGCTGCTGTCTCCTACCCTGCCACGCTGCGTAAAAATGTCCCGCCCTTCATCAGCAATTGCCGTGCGCGCTGTTCCTCCCGCCGGAAAAGAGGGCACACAGACAGGATATAAAATGGCGGGTAAGGGAGGGGTATTCTTTCGTTCTGTTTGTTGTCTGCGGAGCCACCTCGAGCAGACTGCTGTGTGTTGGTGTCAGCGTTGTCCGTTGTGTGTGTGATTGCCGTTCACGTTTGTTTTCGTCGCACACGCACACCCTAGAGCAGCATTGCACTGGTGTGTGGGAATAATGGGACGCTTGGGGAGATTAGGACCAGGTGCTGCGCTCCTTATCTTTGCACAGTTTGGCGGAGCATTTCGCGTCCTGCCTCAACCAGGTGGCGGTCGGAGATATGCTCCGCCATACTCCCGGACATATTCATCAACAAGATACTACCACACTTCCCCGCGGCCTCGTGTGGTTCTGCGAAGTACGACAGAGGAGTCTGCCCCTGCTGTATCCAATGGCAGTACAAGATCAACGCGGGAGGTGGGTGCAAGTAGCACGACAATTGACTGACTCCCTACCATATGCACTTTCGTTTTTGTCTTTTTTCATGAGTCCCGGGTTGACCACACGACGAGCAGCAGTATAGCATGAGGAGACCCATGCTGCAACATCGATGTGCGCATCCTGAACGCCCCCCCCTGGCACTCACACCCGTATTTCGTCTATGTTTTCAACGTGTGTGCGAATTTGAACGTCGGGCGTACAGCAGTAGTCACGACACCAAGAACAGCAGGGAAGAGGCACATGTTGCCGTAGACTCAGACTCACCGACTCTTCTGTAGAGCGGGACAAATATTTGATTCATTCTGGAAGAGTCTTTTACCAAGGTACCACGGTCTCCGACAATACGCCGTAAAGCTTGGCCCTGTGGGTGTGCCATGCAGGCCTGCGCTCGTCGATCGCAAAGGTCTTCGTGGGCATTGGACCCGAATCGCGTTGGTCGTACAAATATGCCATTTTGAATTTGCGCATCATCTATTGTTGGCTTGGCTTGCGTATTTGTGTACCGAAAACGGTCTGCATTCTAACGGGTTGATCGCACGAATGTGTTAGCATCTATGTACTAGTTGCAGTACAGCCAGTAGGCGTTGGCGTGTTGTTTGCAGTCGGCTAACAACTTGATGATGCCCAGCCCTAAGCTTAATAATTGGCAGTTCGACTGCAATCTGTACTTGTAATCGAAACCTTTGCGAGTTCGGTACGGCACCTGGAGAAACATGATAACATTATGCGACGTACGCATACATGTATGCATACTCGATCTTGCAGACGACGGGATGTCGGAAGCAGGCTACCCTATGATACAGCTGTAGACTAAGGCAGACCGTCCTGTTGTCGTCCCCTCTCCGCGTAGGCCCAATCTCGCGGGCCCAGCAGGGCAAAGCGTTCAAACTTCCGAGAGGTGACGCCCCTGGCGAGGATAATCCTCGTTGCCGGCTTCGAGGCCTTCAATCTACAACTCTACAACCAAGTGGTGAGGCTGTGATACAAGGCTGGGGGATTACATGAGCAGGATCGGGTGGGCAGCTGCTATGTAGCATCACGGAGCAAAAATGCTGACCGTTTTCATTTATTTTGAGAAGCAGGCCGTTTCCTTTTCGTCTACAGAAATGATCTCAAATGGTGTCGAATGGCTGTGATGTTTTTTTTCTATAATGTAATAGCATGCTACCGAACATACTATGACACTTGATCAATGTGTTTGTTTCCTCATCGCGTACCCCCCTCCCGTGCGCACCTAGGCCAATGAGCTGAGTGAGGTGTGTCCCGAGCTTGAGCTGGTTGTTTTTACGGACAGAGATATCGCGGAAAACTCGCCTAGAGTCGCCGCCGCCCTGGAGACGGCGGACGCTTTTTTCGCCAGCCTGGTCTTCGACTACGACAACGTGAGTTCTCGTAGCATACTCAATGGACATGGGGGTAAGTTACGTACATGCAGCAGTGGCGCTGCGTAGAGATTGGTTGCGGGAGGGAGTGGAGCAGCCAGCAGGTGCGCCCCACCTATGAGTTGGTCCTCTTGTTTGTGTCATGTACACAGAATACTCGTTTGTCGGCGTGGTCTTTTCGTCTTTCGCGGGTAGCTGCAACAGCAACCAAGAGTGTGTATCCGTGTTTTGACACGTAAACCTGAAACATAGCGCAGCAGTCGTCGGAATTCGTACACCAGTATGCATAGGATGATTCACGAGAACCGCCACCCTTTCGGCGTGTTTCTTGTCGAGGCTACAGATGCTTCTGAAACATATTTTTTTACAGTATTTTTTCCCGTCGGTCTGAACATGCCCCTCCTTCAGGTGAAGTTCCTGAAAGACAGGATAGACCGCATCCCCATCCGGTTGGTGTTTGAGTCGGCCCTCGAACTCATGTCCAGCACCAGTATCGGCGAGTTCTCCATGGCACAGGTAAACCTATCTCCCCCTCCAGATGAGCGAGTGTGGTTGTTGACCGACGGAAGGCGAGAGAATAGGGGAACGGAGGAGGAGGAGGAGGAGGAGGAGGAGGAGGAGGAGGAGGAGGAGGAGGAGGCAAACTAGACGTAGAGCAAACAACTATAATGCAATACCTCGGTGCAGAGATAGCCTCACCTGTAACTCTTAACCCATTCCGTAACGTGCCGCGATGTGTTGCAACGCTCACGGGGCCCGGCGGACGGGACCTTCAGTCTGGGAAAGGCCCCGGAGGCCCCCCCGCACCGGTGAAAGCCCTGCTCTCGAAGTTCGGTAGCGGGAAGGAGGAAGACAGGCTGGCGGGCTACCTGAAGCTCCTCAAAGTTGGGCCGAGTCTCCTCAAGTTCGTGCCGGGCAAGAAGGCGAAGGACCTCCGCTCGTGGTGAGTCAAGACTGTTCGGGGGATACGGCGAGAGCAGTAAGGGGCCAAGCTTAAGAGTCCTGATGTCGTGTTTGTGTTGGCGTACCGCACATTCATACCTGTGCGATTTTTGCGCGTACTTGCGGGCATGTGCACGGATGATACATGTACGGGTTTGATGGGGGGCACATGCTCGCCCGCCAAAGGGGTTGACGTATAATAGGTCATGCTGGACGGCGAAGCAGTTTGCTCGGCGGATTCATCTCGTCCACTCTTGTCTTCTCGACCGTCCTCGTTGGCGACGCCACCGTCACACCGGACAAAACAGCATCGGACGGACGTACTCGCACCGACTGCACGACAGGACTCTCAGCCAAGTCAACGAACCAAATAAACCTTCTCTCGTATCCCTTCGCTCGTCTCCCTCGTCACCGGACTGTTGACCACGGCGGCGACGATGGCCAACCAGGCTCGAGATCTACTCGTACTGGAACCAGGGCGGGATCGAGAACGTTCTGAGCATGTTCCTGACCCTAGGTGACCGGTACCTTCTCCCGCCGGGAACCGCTCCCGCCCCAGGAGAACTCAAGGAAACGCCTGTTCTGGGACTCTTCCACCCTTCCGCGGGACGGTATTTCTCGAACCCCAGGGAGTACATGAAGTGGTACGAGGGGGAGCAAGAGAGGGTGGCTGCTGCTGCTAAGGCGGCGGCGGCGACGGGGGTGGTCATGAGGGGCCACAAGGTCGCGCCCGCGGGGTCTCCGCGCGTGGCGGTGTTGCTTTACCGGAAGCACGTCATCACCAAGCAGGGGTACATCTCCCAGATGATAAGGTTAGCAGCATCATGACACAAGTTTAGCGATGAAGCGTGTTGTGTGTGGCGTTCACGAGTACGACGTGGTGATGTGATACAGAGGCGTTCAGTTTTTTGGCGCTTGGTACTCTCTGTCTGTCTTTTTTTCTTCATCTCTCTGTCCGCCTGTCTATCTCTCTGGGCGCTCACTTGGTCGGCAGGCAACCTCTGGACTCCGTGGTGCTGTTGCTGTTCCATCTGTTGCCGTAGTTGGTAGCTTGAGTGCGCCATTGCTTGGAACTGATCCTTTGACAATCTGTAGGTGTCAGTCAAGGAAGGTGTGTTGTCAATATCCCAAGGTATTTTGGGTCCTTTGCCTCTGGTTCTCTTGTCATTCTTGCCGCCGACTCGATGCACGCTTACACTCAAGTCCCACGTGCCATGTTGCTTGTTGTGTCCGTGTGCAGGATCATGGAAAAGGGCGGCTTGATACCGGTGCCGATCTTCATTAACGGGGTGGAAGCTCACACTGTGGTGCGAGACCTTTTGACCTCTTCCGAAGAGCAGCGGCAACGAGCACAAGGCGTTCTCGACATCGACAGCCTCTCTCCCGACTGTGTAGAGGTGTGTCTGTGTGCGACGCTCAGTCGCTTCCCGCGTCGGATACGCGGTTGAATCGGGCGGGGGGGGGGGAGGCGGACATATTTGACCGTGTGCATTGGTGCTATATTGCCCCCAGAGGCCATCGACCTTGTCCATCCGAGCAATCCACTACATCTACACTTGAATGCGGCGTGATCCCCTAGCCCAAGTTATCGCTGCCGTTGGCAGACTCACCTCCCACACGTGGTTGGCTTTGCTTGTTTTTGGCACTGTCACTGTCACTGTCACAGATCGATGCGGTGGTGAACACGATTGGTTTCCCTTTGGTGGGAGGCCCTGCCGGAAGTATGGAGGCCGGGAGGAGGGTGGACGTGGCGACCAACCTGCTCTCGACCAAGGATGTGCCGTACGTGGTGGCGGCGCCGCTTCTCATCCAGGACCTCGTCGGCTGGCGAAGAGACGGCGTTCAGGGATTGCAGCAGGTCGGTGGTGGTGGTGGTTGTTGTCGTTTAGTCACGGGGTTGTTGATACTATCACCGTCAATTTTGCTGCGCTTCTGCTGCTGCTGCTGCTGCTGCTGCTGCTGCTGCTGTCGGTTTTTTGTTGTTGGTTATGACTGTTTTGGTTTTTAGTTGTTACGATGTTTTCCCCCTGTAGACGCTTAGACGCTATAAATACCACCGCCAAGTGTGTTCAGCTCAATCGTGCAGAGCAGGGCCTGAGGCGATGGGGTTGATATCTCCCTCGGCTATATCCTGAAACATTTCGTGGATGCCGCACGGGTATTTTATTCTGGCACTCCCTCCCTCACCCCCCCCCCCCACGTCCCTCGTTCTCCACGCACCCGCAGGTGGTGCTCTACTCCCTGCCAGAACTAGACGGAGCGATAGACACGGTTGTGTTGGGGGGGCTTGTCGGCGACACGATCGGCCTCATTCCGGAGCGCGTCCGCAAGATGAACGACCGCATCAAGGGGTGGGTCAACCTCCGTCGAACTCCAGCTGGAGACAGGAAGGTGGCCGTCCTCGTCTACGGCTTTCCACCAAACGTGGGGGCGGTGAGTCGGGAGGAGGAGAGAAACCACGCATAGAACGGAGAGAAGAGGGCAAGGAACACAAGAGGTTCCGCAGCAGCACTGCTGCCCTGGTTCAGTCCGCCTTTGGCGTGTGTCGCGCGGTGTAAATCATGACGCCCTGTTGTTTGGGGGGAAACGCGAACCTTTTCGGAACTCTTTCGTTGTCCTCGGATGCCAAATACCGGCCAACACCTCCCCGGTCTACTGGGCCGCCTGTATATTTCCATGCCCTTGCCACCACCCTTCCATCTCACGACATCCACCTGGCAAAAGCAACCCCTCCGCCTGGCGGCAGCAACCACATTGTGGGTGTTTTGTGGCAAGTCTCAGTCGTCTGAAGTTGTTGTGTCCTATTCCTATTCCTCCGCCTTGCCGAATTGAAACCTGTTGAACCGCCTGAACTGCCCCGACGTACTTAAATAATTATATCACGAAAGGTTGGGACAGCAGCCTTGCTGAACGTGCCCGCATCACTGGAAAAGGTGCTGAAGGAGATGAAGGCAAAGGGCTACGACCTTGGCGAGGCCGGCGACAACATCGACGGCGAGGCTCTCGTCGCGGCGCTGAAGGCATGTTCATGGGGCGGAGGGGTAGAAACGGGGGGGCGTACTCATGTTTTTCATCCCTTAGTTGTTAGACCATTGACCAGGGGGGGGGGGGGGAGGGGGTGTACTCATAGTCGTGCATGCCGTAGTCGTTAGACCATTGACCTCGCATCCCTACAAAGCCGGGGCGGAGCACGCCGGGCTTTCACCGGACCAGGCTCTCGCATCACCAAGCGCGAAGCGCCGTGAGGTATCCGGCGAGTCGCATGAAGGGTGCGCTGCATCCTGCTAAGGGTGTTCGTCATCTTGTGCTTACTTCCTTGCGTTCGGATGACAGTTGCGTATGACTTGATTTATTTTCTGGTGCTTTCACTTCCATAGGCAGTTGAAAGCACTGTGTAACTGCCTCGACAGTGCTTGACCAATTTAACACAACGTGGTGTGATTATCCCCTTTTGCGAGGAGTGAGGGTTCTCGACCCCGCACAACATCATCTACTCGACCACCATTCATGGTTACCGCAAAAAAAAAAAAAGAGGTAAAAAAAAACCGGTAGCCTGGTTGCCGAGCTCACGAAGTGATCGGCTTGTTTTACAACGTCGATGCCAAGCGACGAAAACCCAACCCCGATGGCAAACACCGGGCGGGGCGACTTGTTTTACAACGTCGTTGTCGTTGCCAAGCGACGAAAACCCAAACCCCGATGGCAAACACCGGGGCGGAGGGCATTGACCAAGGGGGGCAGGGTAAACGGAAGGTTGCTATGTCAATCCAGCCAGATGGTTGCAAGCGATGTGATTAGATGTTCTTTCGGAATTCTATTCAGATGTTCCATCAATGCTGCAGGCTTGGCCTCGTTGTATTGTTACAGTACATTGTCCATCGCTGCGGCTGAGGGTACCGGCGGCATAGGTGCACACGCTGCATTCCTCTCTGAAATCCTCTTCCTTGCTACCTCGCACATTCATGCATAGGTGATTTCCCAGGACTCGGTAGTAGCCAAGGGTTTCGACAACCTCCAGAAGGCGGTCGACCACGCCGGGTCTCTGGGGGACGACAATTCCTACCGCATCGCTAACCCGGCGGGCCTGGGCGGTGCTTCGGTGGCGGGAGAAGGGATACCGGCCATCGACCTCGACCAATTATTGAGCAAGAGCATGACGCAGAAAATCGAGGTCAACTGGGGCGAGATGTCCAGGTACTGTGTATGCGGGGTCCCCTTGTCGCAAGCTTGGTTTGCTGTTGGCTCTGATTTCACGCCGATGGGCCGGTGCTGCTGTAGAAAGCGGCTGCTTCGTAATTTTTTCTTGCGTGTTTTAACGCCCATGAAGAGCATTCTTATTCTTAGAAGGAGGGAGGCGAGCAGGGGCAGAACAGAAGGGCTCAGCAAATGGGAAGGAATCGTAGCGAGCTATTTATCGTTCCTCGCACCCTGTCCCAGCTTCTACTTTGTGCCGTCAAATTGCCGCAAGCGGCGAGGAACTCAATGCATCCAGTACGCAAAGAGTCACGCCGTCTCTTGGTCGCCGCTGCCGCCCAAACTCTGCACGATACCCCCCCCCATACCCCCCCCCCCCCCCCCCGTTCAGATATCGCGGGGTTAGCACGAGCGGAAAGGGAGATTTGGTGGTCGGAGGTCTCCAGCTAGGCAACGTCTTCATCGGGGTGCAGCCGCTGCTAGGGCTCGAGGGGGACCCGATGCGCCTGATGTTTGAGAGGGATTTGACGCCTCACCCCCAGTACGCGGCATTCTACGAGTGGGTCAGGGGGGACCAGGGCTTCGGCGCGCAGGTAGTACAAGTATATGCGCACCCGAAGGGTGCTGCCGAAGTCGTCGTTTGTTGCTTGCTCCGTAGCCGTTCGTTGGTAGGTGCAGGAAGCGAAGGGTTTCCAATGTTGCGCGCGCGGCGTCTTGTTGGCCCTCTTTTAGCGAACGACCCGTCGGCAACTGCTCCAGATAAGTGATCCTCACATCCCCGTTTTTTTTTCTTCTGGTTCCTGTACTGTAGCTTGTCAAGTCTTCGTTTCTTCGTCTCCTGCTGGCTGTCGTGGTATGATCACGAGGGCGGGGCGAGAGGGGTGATAGACTACACTCAGGACATTGTCGATAATGGCCCGAACTTTGTCGATAGACCCACCTTCGTCCGCGTCTGCTCAATATACCACACACGTACACGGGCGATGCACACGACGCGATGCCCCATCCACCAGCAACACGGCTTCCCTGTCAGCAATCGCTCTGATCGCCGCCAAAACGGAACATCTCTTGTTAACACGCGGCGGGGTTATCGTTGTCGTTGTCGTTGTCGTCAGGCCGTCGTCCACCTGGGCATGCACGGTACGGTGGAATGGCTCCCGGGCTCACCCTTAGGCAACACGCGTGGCACATGGCCTGACGCTCTCCTTGGGGAGTGAGTGGCTCAGGGGGTCCCGCAGATTGTCTTATGGGGCATGGTAGGCCATTGAAGTGCGGCAGGTTTGCGGCGGGAAACACCCGTACTGTTTCGTATTACCAAGGTTTTCCTTGCGTCCCCCCCTTTGCCCCTCACGTCCACGTAGCCTAGGGTTTTCCGTGCCTGTGGGAGAAACTTGTATTGCTCAGTCAACCCCCGTGGATCCCAAACTTCAGCAGCCGCCGACGATGGGGCGGATTAAAGGTCTCCCCTGCCATCGCTGTTTGATACATACGACAACACTGCCGTTGCCTGCGTTGACACCCGTTGGCTTGTGAAGAGTTTGTCTCAGCTGGCTTGAGCTTCTTACCCTATGCCGTCGACCTTGATCGTTAATTGCGTCTCGGCGCCGAAATTACCATTTGACGAAAAGCATGCCGAACGCGTACGTCTACGCCGCCAACAACCCGAGCGAGAGCATTCTCGCGAAGCGCAGGGGGTACGGGACCATCATCAGCCACAACGTGAGCAACAAATGAGTTCGCAGGCAGCGGTCAGAAGGCTCCTCGTCTATTGGCCACGCCCTGCCTAGGCCACACGGTAGTGTATTAATTGTTGTTGTTGTTGTCGTTGTTTTTGTTATCTTCACATTAAAACGTGGCCCCGCCAAATAATGAGGTTAGTATCCACCTACAACTTGTCCTTCTGGTGTGGCCGTATGGACATACTGCTGTGACTCCGGTGGCATACTGCTGTGACTCCGATGGCCGTTTTTTTCGCTTTCCCGCGAATCGCAACGTGGTCGCTGCGCTCGCGTATCACGTCCGTCCACACGGGGACACA